TAGGAGTGAGTGAGTGAGACGGTGAGTGGGAGTAGGAGTGGGTGTGTGAGACTGCGAGTGAGAGTAGGAGTGAGTGAGTGAGACTGTGAGTGGGAGTAGGAGTGAGTGAGTGAGACGGTGAGTGAGAGTAGGAGTGAGTGGGTGAGTGAGACGGTGAGTGGGAGTAGGAGTGAGTGAGTGAGACGGTGAGTGGGAGTAGGAGTGAGTGAGTGAGACGGCGAGTGGGAGTAGGAGTGAGTGAGTGAGTGAGACGGTGAGTGGGAGTAGGAGTGAGTGAGTGAGACGGTGAGTGGGAGTAGGAGTGGGTGAGTGAGTGAGACGGCGAGTGGGAGTAGGAGTGAGTGAGTGAGACGGTGAGTGAGAGTAGGAGTGGGTGAGTGAGACGGTGAGTGGGAGTAGGAGTGAGTGGGTGAGTGAGACGGTGAGTGGGAGTAGGAGTGAGTGAGTGAGACGGTGAGTGGGAGTAGGAGTGGGTGAGTGAGTGAGACGGCGAGTGGGAGTAGGAGTGAGTGAGTGAGACTGTGAGTGGGAGTAGGAGTGGGTGAGTGAGTGAGACGGCGAGTGGGAGTAGGAGTGAGTGAGTGAGTGAGACGGTGAGTGGGAGTAGGAGTGGGTGAGTGAGTGAGACGGTGAGTGGGAGTAGGAGTGGGTGAGTGAGTGAGACGGCGAGTGGGAGTAGGAGTGAGTGAGTGAGTGAGACGGCGAGTGGGAGTAGGAGTGAGTGAGTGAGACGGTGAGTGGGAGTAGGAGTGGGTGAGTGAGTGAGACGGCGAGTGGGAGTAGGAGTGAGTGAGTGAGACTGTGAGTGGGAGTAGGAGTGGGTGAGTGAGACGGTGAGTGGGAGTAGGAGTGAGTGAGTGATACGGTGAGTGGGAGTAGGAGTGAGTGGGTGAGTGAGACGGTGAGTGGGAGTAGGAGTGAGTGAGTGAGACGGTGAGTGGGAGTAGGAGTGAGTGAGTGAGACGGTGAGTGGGAGTAGGAGTGGGTGAGTGAGTGAGACGGCGAGTGAGAGTAGGAGTGAGTGAGTGAGACGGTGAGTGGGAGAAGGAGAGGGTGAGTTAGACGGTGAGTGGGAGTAGGAGTGAGTTAGTGAGTTAGACGGCGGGTGAGAGTAGGGGTTAGTGAGTGAGACGGTGAGTGAGAGTAGGGAGTGAGTGGGTGAGTGAGACTGCGAGTGAGAGTAGGAGTGAGTGAGTGAGACAGCGAGTGAGAGTGGTAGTGTGTGGGTAAGTGAAACTGCTCAGATGAGTGACGTAAAAATAATAATTTGTGCTTCACACACATCCACTGAGAGCACACATACTGTAATTTAAAAAAATGAAAAAATCATTCAGATTGATAATCAAACTCAGCATGTCTTGTGGCAGGATAGCCTCGCGGTGAAAGCGTCGCCTCGTGAGGTAGACCACAGTCTCCCACCCTCCCGCTATAATATAGCATGAATATAAGGTGTGTAAAACCCATACCTCACAGACAGGTACCAATAGCTTGACACACAGACAAAGGCCAGGACCCCTGACAACCACCCTGGTGCCCCATATTCTATACAGGGCAAACAGCGTCTGGGATAACGTGTGATATAAACAACATATGTCCTTCAGCAATAGACGATCACAGCTTATATATGTCAACTGTCATCGATCCAATACACTGTACACTATCTGCTGTGAACGTCAGTACTGTATACAAACGCCTCTTAATGCGCTTCACTGATCACTAATCGCTATATAAGGAGCCTGTATGTATTGAACGCTGGGTCTTGTGTACTTGTGTGTGTACGCGAGGCTAGAGGGCAGAGATCACCATACACTGACAAGTGTATCAATTAAACGCACAGCTGGATGACAAAGGTAAAATTATTAATGATATTCTTTTATCACACATATTTTGTTGGAGGTTAACGCGGGTGAAATATACCGGAGTATGAAGAGGTTTAGTGTATTGTTTTAAGCCGCTCTGTGCGTTGGAGATTAACGTTTTGGAAATAGCTTATATTCACAGTGAAAGTGTCATGTGTAGTTTACCTTTATATATGGCTGCTTCAACTCGTATTGACGGTGTTACAGTGGGGTGTCCAGAGTGAGTGAGTGAGTTCGGTTTTACGCCGCTTTTAGCAATATTCCAGCAATATCACAGCGGGGGATACCAGAAATGGGCTTCACACATTGTACCCATGTCGGGAATCGAACCCGGCTCTTCGGCGTGACGAGCGAACGCTTTAACCACTAGGCTACCCGACCGCCCCTTAACGCTTTGGAACCTCGGTCGGGTGAAATATACACGAGAATATAGGTAGAGGTTTTGCGTATTGTTTTACGCCGCTCTGTGCAATATTCCAGTTGTATGACGACGGCCTGTAGATAATCGAATCTGGACCCGGCTAACCGGTGATCGATAGTGTGAGCAACAATCCACGCCGCGGGCTGCAATGACGCGCAATTAGCCGAGACACGGGGGCTCACTGCCCGATCCATTTCGTCGCTTAACTACGACCAGCAATCCCCATGGGACATACCTCGACAAGACAAGCTCCATTTCAAGAATGATCGGTGGTTTGAGGAAACTGATTATCGATTATCGAACGATTATGACACACTGGGACACTGGGACAGACGCGTGGTCAGGCTCGCTGACTTGGTTGATGCATGTCATCCACCCCAATTGCGAGGATCGATGCTCATGTCAATCACTGGATTGTCTTGTCCAGACTCGATTATTTACAGACCGCCGTCGTATAGCTTGAATATTGCTGAGTGCGGTGTTAAACAACAAACCAACTAACCAACCAACCTCATGTCTATACTTTTCTTTTTTCCCTGCCAGCTGAACATTTTGAGGAAATACATACAAATATTTGAATTTGGAATCTTATAATAAATATATTTTTTTCGTTCCACTGCTGAGTGCGGCGTAAAACAACAAACCAACCAAACCTCTCGATAAATGATGTGTGCGAAAATACGACAAACCAATCAGAATGCGTATATGACTCTTTCGATCAAAATCCCCCAGGAATAATTTGTAATTTGACATATGTCTTGCATTTAAAAATATTCCCAAAATACAGTTGAATGTGTTCAATCATACAGAATGATACTGTAAGTCCCGATGTGTTTTCAATAGCAGCTGGAATATATATGATACATGGGGGAAATATACGTGAATCACGCAACAAGTTGACAAATAGTTTAGCTATGCCTGTCTGCGCTTAGACGGAACCCAGTCGAACAAATGGCCACGAGCTTGGAGTGGATCGATGTTCATGATGTCATTCACTGGATTGTCTGGTCCAGACTCGATTATTTACAGACCGCCGTCATATATGCCCGAGTGCAAGGTAAAACAACACATAGTAAACAGAAACATTCTTACATTAAAGTTCTGGGCTGATTTTACATCAAGTGCACATATGTAGATGGATGATGGATATATTTTAGAAATAAACGACGTCACTGAAGGGAGAATAAACCATGAGGGGCGCAGCACCAACGATAAACAACAAACACTGGTCGTTTTTTCGTGTATGAGATATCAAACCCGTGAAGATCCGGGGTAGAATAGGTCTTCAGCAACCCATGCTCGCCGTAAAAGGCGACTATGCTTGTCGATAAAGGCGACTAATAGGGATCGGGTGGTCAGGCTACCTGACTTGGTTGATACATGTCATCGATCCCAATTGCGCGGATCGATGCTCATGATATTCATCACTGGATTGTCTGGTTCAGACTCTATTATTTACAGATATACCGCCGTCATATAGATGAAAAATTACTGAGTACGGTGTTCAAAAACAAACAAACAAACAATTATATGAGATATCAACGTTATATGTACAGCCTCTTGAAGGATGTTGGTAAAATGTACAAGTTTTAATCAGAATCCGACCTCTGAAGTGTCGGACAAGTCCATTTTACGAATCAGTGGGTAAAAAAAGTTTGATTTTTCTAACATACTCTCAAAATCCCTATGTCGATTATCTGTACCTTTTCTCCCGATACCGATTGTCATATCTTATGGATGCATTGCGTTTATCTACGTTGTCCTGGTACATCTAAGGGGAACAACTCACGAGACACTTCCCTATTAAAAATAATGTCGTCCAAATTACGACGTCATCAATTAGCGAGGGCATGTTCGAATCTCCAGAAATTACGTCATGATAGAATAATTTTTTATCGTGAAATAAACCACGCATCGTTCTTCACTGTTCTTTGCGATTTACCGCGTATCTATCTTATGTTATCTATTGAAAGACAGTTTAACGAAAACACCTTTTACTAAATATTTCAGAGATGGAATGTTTCCTACAGGTTATTTGAAACTCGGACCCTGTATTTTTCTGATAAGCCATACAACATTGGGACGTGGGTTGTGCGATTCGTAGCTCTCTGTACTAGTCACCAAATATCATTGAATTATAGCTAAAATGGGTAGAATTATCTTTAAACCGCCCGCATGTTATAAGAAATGAGCGGGCCACTGTATCTTGATAATGCCCTTATATTGCTTGACTACGGGCCATTATCACGCCCGTTGTTAGGTGACGTCATAGGATAGGGATACGTGTCGTCACGTTCAATAGTGACGTCATCTGGTTTGTTCTATGACGTTTCCATATTTGTAAAAGTTGGTCAGTGACATTGGTGTCGATTGCAGTAAATGTTTCAAAACCGATATTGTTGTTACTTTTTATTTGATGAAAACTTCAATCCATTTTAGCTGTAATAACAGTAACGCTGTTTTTCAGGGCATTTTCATTTGCAGAAGCCCTCGGTCTTTCAACTGCCCTCCTTCGTCGGGCAGTTAATGGAAGACCTCGGGCTTCTGCAAATAATAATGCCCTGAAAAATAGCGTTACCCTTACAATACTCGTGTTCCACCTTGTCTGAAGTCCCTCTTACAACAAGGAAGGAAATCTTTCGACTGAAAAAGGTCTTCAATACACGTGTATCAGTTTTAGCGGTCTTCATTGTCATCGAGTATGAGAGTTGTCTAACCTTTCTTCCGGTTAAATGTTGATGAAGTTTCGAGGCACATAATCATCATCAAAGCTGCGACATTTTCCCGATTATCTGGTCTGTTAAAGAATGAACCCCGCGGCGGAAGCACAAGTTGTGGAGGATGTGCAGGGAGACGGACGCTGGATGAGTTTGGTACGTGATGCACGTGAGAATCGCGAGCTAAACGTGACAGGAAATGGCTGTCGCAGTGCAGACCGCGACACGAGTAAGCTGACAGGTGCCCGTCCGACGGGACTTTATATCGGAGGATGAATTAATTATTACTGCATATGTTTTTGGTGCCAATACGTATTGCACATCAAGAAATATTGTCTTTTAACTCTATAACAAATGGTCCCGTTTATTTAAGAGCACAATTAAATGTATATAAACTTGACAGACACAAGAGTAGAAGGTTCAGCTCACCCATGTCAGGTGTACATCTGCTGAACTAGAAGCACATCTCCCTAGCAGGAGAGCGTCATGGGATCTGAAATCTGCCATAGTCGAAAGAAGAAGCTATTTCTTTCACATATCATATGGTGTACCTCAAAACTGTCAACAGAATATATATAAGGCCATAAAATTACATTTTGACATATCCCAAAGTGTGTGGCCCTGTTTTGTTTGTTGTTCTTTAAGGCCCCACTCAGGAATATCGCAGCTGTATGACGGTGGTCTGTAAATAAACGAGACTGGACTAGACAATCCAGTGATTGACATCATGAGCATCAATCCTCGCAATTGGGATCAATGACATGCATCAACCAAGTCAGCGACAACGTCGTGTGTTAGCTGGGAAGTCAGCGAGCCTGACGACGCGTGTGTCCTAGTGCAGGTCCTAGGAAGAATTCGTCTTCAGCAACGCATGCTTGTCATGAGAGGCGACTAATGGGATCGGATGGACTGTCTTGCTGACTTGATTGATGCATGTCATTATCTCTCAATTGACAAGATCAATGCTTATGATGTCAATCACGGGATTAAATGTCTGGCCCAGACCTGATTATTTACAGACCGCTGTCATGTAGCAGGGATATTGTTGAGTGCGGTCCTGAGTGTGTGAAGCACATTTCAGGTAAAGAATGATCCTCCCGAGTACAACGTGGAAGTTTTCTGAAAATCAGTCAATGAGTTCGTTCATGTGTAATGTGTCATTGACCTGAATCTGTGCATCTGTTGTTTCCAGTTATAGCCAGCTAATAGGTCTGTTTCTGCCATGGCATGAATCTGGGGACATTTTGGCCCAAACTGACTTGAAGAATACATGAATTTAAGATATTTCAGTGAAGTTTATGAAGCGCCCCGCTCTAATAAGCGCCCACGGCGATATTTGCTAAACAATTGGCTAGTGAACAATCCCAATTAGCACCCCTTTCGATTGATTATAGTATCACAATTGATCAATGTAATACGTGTGTTATCGCACCCTTAATTCATTAAATTCTGGATAAACCACGAAATTTACGATCTTTCAACTCTGTTGTTTTTCACCAAAATAATATTCTAATAAGAGCCCCCTATTTCTAATTTTGAGAGCGCCCTGGGCGATTGTTTTGTCGAATATGGTAGTGGTGGGCTGTGTGTTTCCTGACATTGCAGACTATTGTGATACCTAGGTCTTCGTTGTGGTGTCCATTGTATGCTGTTATGTTTTCTTCCACGTGCGACACTTCAGACAAATATATCTGCATACATCGACTTTGCGGCTTTTACCGTGTACCGGTAATACCGTATTCGACGTAATAAGTGCCCAGGGCGCTCTCCAAATTAGAAATAGGGGACTCTTATTAAAATATTATTTTGGTGAGAAAAAAAACAGAGTTGAAAGATAAATTTCGTGGTTTATGCTGACAGCCTGAAATGTTTATGTACGGCAGATATATTTTTCCAGAATTTAAATGCCCATATTAATGGTGCATAACACAGGAGTGCGTATTATACGCGAATGAATAAGTCTTGTTTACATAGATCAATTGGAAGGGGGGCTAATTGGGATTGTTGACGTGCCAGTATATGAGCAAATATCGCCGTGGGCGCTTATAAGAGCGGGGCGCTTATTACGTCGAATACGATACCAGTTTTAGTGTTACATAATCAGTGAGAGAATTCAATAATGACATGATTATAAAGCATGTTTAAGGTGATCATTACAAGGAACCCTGAACTCCCCGAGTATCATTCACATGTATATTTACTATGTGCTCTCAAGGGATCCTGCTTCGTTTCAGTCTTAATATTCTTAACACTTGATTGTAATACAAAATGCAACCCATGAAGATCCAGTGTGGAATAGGTCTTCAGCAACCAATGCTTGTCGTAAAAGGCTACTATGCTTGTGGGAAGAGGCTACTAACAGGATCGGGTGTTTAGGCTCGCTGACTTGGTTGATGCATGTCATTGTATCCCAATTGCGTAGATCGATGCCTCTGATGTCAATCACTGGATTGACTCGTTTATTTACAGACCGCTTTCATACAGCTAGAATATTGCTAAATGGGGCGTTAAAGAACGAACAAACAAACTAACTAATACAAAATGCCAACGCTAGATAATAATGTCTCTATTTTCTCCAGAAACACACTATTTAGAGTGATAAAGATATAAACGGATGAGGGAAAAGGGTGAGGATGTCCTGCTCTACCCGGCACCCGCCACCACACAATTTGAATAAAACAGTGAAAATGTTGGTGTATTGCAGCCTTAAAGGTTTTATAACATGAATGATGAGGACTAAAAACCGTTTAAGGCCATTTTCTGTTTGTGTGTTCAGCACAAGCGCTTCCTGCTGGAGGCCAAGGAGAGAGAGCCGGAGGTCGTGTTCATCGGAGACTCGCTGATCGCACAGCTGCAGCATATGCCCGTAAGTAGACCTGTATGTTTACCTGTAGCCATATGGCTATTTATGTATTTCTGGTCATTGTCGACTTTAGGAGTAATTATTCATGAGTACACTCTCAAAATTAGAAATAGGGGGCTCTAAATTCTGTTGTGAGTGATGTTTCCGTCTGATTAGTCTGATGTTGACTTTCAGATCTGGCAGCAGATGTTTGAACCTCTCCACTGCCTCAACTTTGGAATCGGCGCCGACCAAACCCAGCACGTGTTGTGGCGCGTACAGAATGGGGAACTGGACAACATGGAACCAAAGGTTGGTTTGCCGCAATCTGTCTGTCTGTCTGTCAGTTGTGTTGTACCATGTTTCAGGTGTGTTGTACCATGTTTCAGGTGTGTTGGTCCATGTTTCAGGTGATGTTGTACCATGTTTCAGGGGTGTTGTACCATGTTTCAGTTGTGTTGTACCATGTTTCAGGTGTGTTGGTCCATGTTTCAGGTGTGTTGTACCATGTTTCAGGTGATGTTGTACCGTGTTTCAGGTGTGTTGTACCATGTTTCAGGTGTGTTGGTCCATGTTTCAGGTGTGTTGTACCATGTTTCAGGTGATGTTGTACCATGTTTCAGTTGTGTTGTACCATGTTTCAGTTGTGTTGTACCATGTTTCAGGTGTGTTGTACCATGTTTCAGGTGTGTTGTACCGTGTTTCAGGTGCGTTGAAGTGTGTTTCAGGTGTGTTGTACCATGTTTCAGGTGTGTTGTACCATGTTTCAGGTGTGTTGTACCATGTTTCAGGTGCGTTGAAGTGTGTTTCAGGTGTGTTGTACCATGTTTCAGGTGTGTTGTACCATGTTTCAGGTCTGTTGGTCCATGTTTCAGGTGTGTTGTACCATGTTTCAGGTGTGTTGTACCGTGTTTCAGGTGTGTTGTACCATGTTTCAGGTGTGTTGTACCGTGTTTCAGGTGTGTTGTACCGTGTTTCAGGTGTGTTGTACCATGTTTCAAGTATGTTGGTTCATGTTTCAGGTGTGTTGTACCATGTTTCAGGTGATGTTGTACCATGTTTCAGGTGTGTTGTACCGTGTCTCAGGCGTGTTGTACCATGTTTCAGGTGTGTTGTACCGTGTTTCAGGTGTGTTGTACCATGTTTCAGGTGTGTTGTACCGTGTTTCAGGTGTGTTGTACAATGTTTCAGGGGTGTTGTACCATGTTTCAGGTGTGTTGTACCAGTGTGTTGTACCATGTTTCAGGTGATGTTGTACCATGTTTCAGGTGTGTTGTACCATGTTTCAGGTGTGTTGTACCGTGTTTCAGGTGTGTTGTACCATGTTTCAGGTGTGTTGTACCATGTTTCAGGTGGTGGTGATGCTGGTGGGCACCAACAACCACGACCACACAGGGGAGCAGGTTGTCGGGGGCATCGTGGAGATTGTCTCAGCCATACACACCAAGCAGCCCCAGGCTCAGGTCGTCGTCATGGTGAGTCAGTCACAACAATCCACACATTACAAATAGTAGATAATGTCCACATTTACCAAGCACCAAATCCAAACCCTAGCATGCTGAAATTGCTGCATCATTACTCTGGTGAATGGATCAGTGTGCAGTTGATTTACAAATCTCATCTCCCTGCAGGGTAAACATCTGAAGTCACATTACCATGGTTACCATCTCATTCTACCAGATATCAATTAAAAATAATATTTGTATACTCTATAAATCATTGAAGAAATTGGGTGTTCTTTAACTTCTTTTGAATAGTATATCTGGTTTTATTCTCAGTGTGTTAAGCAGGGCTCAAGATAAACTTTCAGAGCTCAAGATAAGCTGCATATCTGCGTAAAATCAGAAATGCAGAAATATGCAGTAAAATAAAATCCAAGCGTATCAAATACGCAACGAACATTACAGATACGCTACAAAAATAAAACTTGTGCATATCATCAAAATATTGTGAAGTAACCCTGCGTATTCGATTAGCAAATCAGCAACTTATTTTGAAATTATAGACGGGCATTCCGCCAACCTTGCCAAACTCCACGATGACAGTTACATCATGATCATTTGCCATCACACTTTCTTGTGGAAGTATCATGGTATTTTTGAGTCCTATAAAGCTCTCGAACCCACACGACACCAGTTTGCAGGGACCAGATGAATAGTGATTTAAATATTTTACTTTAAATACCCACATGTGTAAAAACTAGTCGGTAACAGAAATTTGAATACCCAGATAGAATTAATGATACCCAATGATTTTAAAATGCATGGGTAAAATACCCACAACACCAAAAGCTTATCTGGAGCTTTGACTTTGCTTAAAATACATATGATAAATCATTTTTGAGTTGTTTGCTTACATTTTTAGACAACACTGTATGTAATTACTAGGACTGAAACAAATACACTATTAGGTGAATACGATGAGTATACTGAATATAGGGTAACAAATACGAATATTTATTCACGAATACAATAACAAGTCTGCAGTTGATGTATTTTTTATGATATTCAGTGAAGCATTAGCAAAATATATTATTTGACATGGTTTGTTAATTATTAATTTATTATACATTTATATACTGCACTCATCCAGGTACTAGTATCTGCTCAAATGTGACAATGACCAGTGACTAAAATACTGTCAAATTAAATATTAAAGATTGTTGTCTTTAAAGAAATCTATGCATATAATATGTTCTTATGGATATTTTAATGGTCAGGGTATGTAAATGCACATGACTGCATATTCATAAATATTCGATTCTAGTGATCGCGAATTACGAATTGAATTCATGAATGGATATGGTTCAATTCACCGAATACGTGAGTGAATCATAACAGCCCTAGTAGCTTTTGTAGCCTAGTAGCTTGTAGCTTTTGCAACTTGGATACCTGAAAGATCTTTATTATGGATTAGAAGTCAAAATTATGACTTATCGTTATCACTACCACTTCCCTTAAACTTTAAAGACTTGTTGCGAATTATGATGACTTATGATGAATTATGATGAATTATGACAGATCCGTCAATAAAGAAAGGGAGGTAACTCTAAACTTACTTCATGCCTTCCTCATGCCCATACTTTTCTTTTTCCCTCCCTACTGAACATTTTGAGGAAAACATACAAATATTTGAATTTAGAATCTTATACTTTATATTTTTCATACCACTGACCTGAAATTTGGGGTCCAATCTCATTAAAATCAGATCTCAGTTCTCGCTACCGCTAAACAAAGATCTGAGGACATCCCATTACGGGTCACGTCAGACCGACCTAGCACGAACTTTGACCGAACAATGGAATGACCAATCAGAAGGCAGGTTTCTCGTGCTTTAAGGCACTAATTTCAAATTTGCGACTTCGCTTCGTAACATATTTTGACAAATTCTCGATTACAAATTTGAAACCTAAACAAAAGAACATTCTGGAATGGCTTATAGATGGTCTACATTGAATGGATTCAGTCGTTAAACCCGTAACTATCACATTCCGACTGTCACTTTCATAATCTGGTAAGCGATGCTCTGATTGGTCGGATGAAAGGTCGTTCTGACATGACCCCTAATGGGATGTCCTCAGATCTTTGTTTAGCGGTAGCGAAAACTGAGGTCTGATTTAATGTGATTGTTTGGGGTCAAATCCGATTGATTGATATAAATTGATCTTTCTCCAGGGCATTCCTCCTCGCGGAGAAAACCGGAACCACCTCCGCGAGAAGATCCTGCAGATCAACACGAGCCTGGCAGAGCAGCTGAAGGGGAAAGGGAACGTCACCTTCCTCAACATCGACGCGAGCTGGTTCGTGAACGCCGACGGCACGATAACACATCATGACATGCACGACTATCTCCACATGACGCGACGGGGGTATCAGAAGATCTGTGAGCCACTCCTGGAGGAGATTCAGAACCTCCTGCAGACTTTTGTGAAGGTGGAGAGCACGTCCGTGGAGACGGTGTCCATGGCGGGAGAGTTGGCCGGAGACAAGGCCTAGTCATGGCTGCCAGAGTCTCGCTTCTGGAGTCACGCTTCCTTGAGAATATTCTTGGATTCTTGGTTCCATCGAGATCTGGTTCCTGAAGATTTGGTTCTTGGAGTCTTGGTTCCTGGAGATATGGCTCTTGAAGATATGGTTCTTGGATTTTTGGTTCCTGGAGATCTGGTTCCTGAAGATGTGGTTCTTGGAGTCTTGGTTCCTGAAGATATGTTTCTTGGAGCCTTGGAAGCAGGAAGCATGGTTCCTGGAAACCCATTTCATGTTGTTTATCATGATAAGTTCTGGTTCTTGGGGTCAAGTTTCCCAGAATCATGGTTCCAGGAATCACAGTTCCCAGAATCACTGTGTCAGGCGACAATTTTTCTTGGAATCAGGGTTCGCAAATCAAAGTTCCTAGAATCATGGCTCCTGGAATCACCGTCTCAGGTCGACGTGGTTCCCGGGCACATCCACTGGTGCACATCCACTGGTGCACTGTTAATGCTCTCTGTGTGTTCAAATGCATATGTTTTCAGTGCGAGGGTGTTCGATTATATGTGGTAGAGAAGCTTTGAATGTGTCCAGCTCTATATCCGTTCAAAGTTATTCTCCGAAGGGGAAATACGGGGAATTGGTGTACTAAATGAAACCCTGGACTCTAGGGGTGAAACGATACAGCAAGGCCACGATACGATACGTATCATGATACATCAGTCACAATACGATACATGTCATGATACATAAGTCACAGTACGATACATGTCATGATACATAAGTCACGATACGATACATGTCATGATACATGTCACAATACGATACATGTCATGATACATAAGTCACGATACGATACATGTCATGATACATAAGTCACAATACGAGACATGTCATGATACATAAGTCACGATACGATACATGTCATGATACATAAGTCACGATATTTATGTCAAATAGGAGAAATAGGAGACTAAAAATATTTCAAAGCAGGTTCAAAAGGAAAAGCTAGCTGAAGACATGTTTAGAAGCTGCAATTTTAGTGAACTTGACACACCAATTACAATAAATTTGCGATATTTGACTGACAAAGATGCTGGGGTAAGGGATATATTTTGCAAGTGTATCGTCTTGTATCGATACAAAAAAAACGTATCATGCACAGGTGTATCGTTTTGCCCCTGCTGACTCAGTGTTTGAAGTTAAGTTTGAAAGTCAAGGGGTCCTATCTTTAACCGAGTGTTGGAGGTTAAGCTGAGAGTCAAGGGGTCCTATCTTTAACCGAGTGTTGGAGGTTATAATGTGGCAGGTCCAAGATTCTGGTACGGAAGCAGCACTCCTTTACGATCCCCGGACCCGCTTGAATGTCGAGCACTGCTGACAATACATACAGTGCTACATTGTTCTACATGTTTTACAGTTCTCTGTCATTATACCATGTGTATCACAATACTGTGTTCTCTGTACGATACCTTGTCCATGATGATATGTTGTTTATGGTATGCTACTTTTGGTATGCTACTTCTGGTATGCTACTTCTGGTATGCTGTTTGGATTTCATGAGCCACTAGATGGCGCAGTTCACGACTTTTCTTGATTAATGATTTGCTTGGTAAACTTGTCTTAGCATCCTGTACTGGAGGTTGTTTCAACTTTGCGAAGGTTAAGCAGATACCTCATCAGGTTGAAACAGTTCATCTGGCCCTCTGGAACAAAGGAAGAAAACAACTATATTTCTTTCCGAAAATTTCATTTTCAGGTCAAGTGATTGATTGATTGATTGATTGATTGATTGATTGATTGATTCATTGTACACAAGAAAGTGGAAATTCTTTACAAATTGATGGGTATCATTATTTTAACGAATGTTCAGTTATGTGTGCGTTATTTGGCTGAAACTACAGCATCAAAGGAACAAATACAGGGTGTATGGGTTTACAATACAGTCTGAAATTTAAGATGAATTAATATATGAAAATAGACACTACACAAATATGCTGGATGGAAAGTTGCTAGATGAACTACATGTAATACATGAGAATGTTTAACTTAGTGCTTCGATATCCATGCTGCATTTGAACTGGCCTGTATGTTCGCACTGCACATGCATTTTGTGCGATTTTGTGGTTCGTAGCCAGTACGTTCGTAATGCATATACGTACCATGAATGTAGGAGGGAAACTCTTGTCGAGCAGAGAGAAGGGAGGGACAAGTGTCAGTTACAGTTGAAACAATAGAGTGATGTCATAGCTGTGGTTTAATCATTTCAGACCTGTTGACGCGCATCGACCCAATCACTTTGCAGAGTTGAAGGTGAAGGTCGTATGTGACGCAATCACTTTGCAGAGTTGAAGGTGAAGGTCGTATGTGACGCAATCACTTTGCAGAGTTGAAGGTGAAGGTCGTATGTTGTTCTGCCGGCTGTAGTCCTGGTGGTTGTATAGTGACTGTTTTGGTCAGTGCTATGAATAATACTTTCTGTGAGGAAAGTGAACGTTATGTGGTACTGGTCGTGAAATATTGCATGTGCTTTGACCAGCTGTCTCGCTGAAGCATTTGGTAAATGTAAGCATGCAACATGTGTAACGGTGTTGTAATTGTAATCTCAATATTACATCTGTGAGCTCATGTAATGTTGATGTCCGTACAAGACTGTTCACTGACAGTTTCCACCCTTGTCGATCCAAGTTGGAATTCCTGGGCTCGATCGTAGCACCACCAGTGGATGTTATGAGTTATGTCCCTTCTAAGCCTCTCCTATTGACCAATCAGATTCCACCTCTCGTATTACTTGCATTTGCTTCAAACAAGATGGCAGCACCCAGGCAAGATCACGTGAGCACCTTGATAAAAAACATGAAAAGATTTGGAAAATATCTGCAATTGACCGAAATCTGTATTACAGTTTACGAACGTTAAGTTTCGATTTCGTCGTGCAATTTTGATTGGACTATGCATAGACTCATTTGTCCAGCCACAATGTAACTCCATAATACAAGCCTAGTTCGGCAAGGGTGGAAACTGGACTTTGATAGTCAGTTAATTCCCCTGCATCAGGAAGATGGTACCTAAGCTAAGCCATGCAATCCTTTAGAAGTTTTCGTAAAGACAGATCTGATTTATTTCGTATTTGAAAGATATTGAGAGGCAGGAAAGTGCATTTTCTTTTATCAAGGTTGATTTTTGGATTAATTTACATTTGAAAATTTAAAACCTTAATTGAATATATTTCAATCAGGATTATTAATTTGTGTAATTTTGGAAAACTGATGGGAGCAAGAACTCAAGAATATTTATAAGTGTGGCCTGAACTAGAGATGCCTATTTCTGCATGGTTTTACTTACAAACCTAGGGGTCCAGGCGACGCCCTCTGGATGAAGTCCAAGGGTCCAGGCGACGCCCTCTGGATGAAGTCCAAGGGTCCAGGCGACGCCCTCTGGATGAAGTCCAAGGGTCCAGGCGACCCCCTCTGGATGAAGTCCAAGGGTCCAGGCGACGCCCTCTGGATGAAGTCCAAGGGTCCACGCGACCCCCTCTGGATGAAGTCCAAGGGTCCAGGCGACGCCCTCTGGATGAAGTCCAAGGGTCCAGGCGACCCCCTCTGGATGAAGTCCAAGGGTCCAGGCGACGCCCTCTGGATGAAGTCCAAGGGTCCAGGCGACCCCCTCTGGATGAAGTCCAAGGGTCCACGCGACCCCCTCTGGATGAAGTCCAAGGGTCCAGGCGACCCCCTCTGGATGAAGTCCAAGGGTCCAGGCGACCCCCTCTGGATGAAGTCCAAGGGTCCAGGCGACCCCTTCTGGATGAAGTCCAAGGGTCAAGGTGACCCGCTCTGGATGAAGTCCAAGGGTCAAGGTGACCCCCTCTGGATGAAGTCCAAGGGTCCTGTAAAGTAAAGAAATGGTACAGTGTACTACTGGTAGAATATCGAACACTTTTGAGAATATTGAGAATTAGATTTGATAATTACTTTAATTACAAGACATTTATATTTGGTGTCAAGAATTTGGCACACTGTACATTAGAGTGTGTCCCTCCGGATGCAATATATTTTTTTCTGCATGTATTTTAGACATGAGTGTGTTCTGGCCGCACATTTCGGCGTAACCCTGTAACTGTATTCCTGTAAATATAATGTTTAGTTCCGATACTTGTGTAGTATTTACCTAAGTGTTGCGCATTGTGTAGCTATTGTGCTTCTATTCGCTGTCAATAACCTTGACTTGGGGGAGCAAGGGGGGCACAGTTGTCTAAGGCACCGCAATACGCTCTGTGCAGAGTTGCCTACCTTTGGCACGCCAGGAGCCTGAGTGACTGCATGACTTTGTGAGAACCCTACAGTAGCTGCCCACCCGCTAGCCAAATCAAAGTGACATTATTTTGGCCTTGAAACATTTTCTGACTGTTCAAAAGTTAACACAAAATTAAGTCATTAAGTAGGGCTCGTAAAATACGATGAAGCTTGGAACATTTTTTGTTGACAAGTCCTCCTGGCCAGTGAACTAATTCACACTCTGCCGTAAAGTCATGGCACGTCGCACAAGGAATATTTCCAAAGTAATCTGAACACTGATTGGTCTGAACTGTTGCTAGTTTCAGTCTCGCCTGCACCTCGCCTGAACCACGCCATGGCTTTATTTGTCAGTTCACTCTCGTCTGAACCACGCCATGGCTTGATTTGTCAGTTCACTCTCGTCTGAACCACGCCATGGCTTGATTTGTCAGTTCACTCTCGTCTGAACCACGCCATGGCTTGATTTGTCAGTTCACTCTCGTCTGAACCAAGAAGAAATTACAGGCCTATAAGGTGAAGGTCGGGAACTGACCTTCCTTCCAAGGTCAAGGTTGTATGTAACATCTCTGATTGGTTGGTTTAGCTAACAGTTGTGACACTGCATGTCGGCGCAATGTATTCACGGGTGATAAGGGTACGTTGTGTATACGTACCGTGAAGTATTCACGTTGTATTCACGGGTGATAAGGGTACGTTGTGTATACGTACCATGAAGTATTCACGTTGTATTCACAGGTCATGGAGAAGTGTAGGGTATACAGACCCGTGAAGTATTCACAATTGACCTACTGTTGTTAGTATTAATTTCAACTTTACTTTTTTGTTTTTATGTAAATACATATGTTTGCTTTTGACTGCCATTTATAACTACTTGTTGTTGATACATATACTACTCAAAAGAAGTTAAGGAACACCTTGTTTATTAGTCTGACTGTCAGGCCTTGACATTAACTGGGCGGTCAGGTAGCCTAGTGGTTAAAGCGTTTGCTCGTCACGCCAAAGACCTGGGTTCGATTCCTGACATGGGTACATTTCTGGTGTCCCCCGCCGTGATATTGCTGGAATATTGCTTAAAGCAGCGTAAAACAATACTCACTCACTCACTGACAGATTTACTATAGCTATTTGATCCAAATCTAGGTTTCTTTAACTTCTCTGCGGAGTGTATATGAAATGTATCTGCCAGTGCTGTCAGTGTGGACACAGTCGTGTGTCTCTCGTACAATAATAGATGGAAAGAAGAGAACACTGTCACGGGAATTATGTTTTTAGCATGGACTTTTATAATGTTAGAACATGGATTTCAATCCAAATTCAAAATTCAAATGAAGCATTTATATAGCGCTACTTATCCAGACATACTGCCTGCTCAAGAGCGCTTAGTCTTTTGAAGAGGATGGTCTTGAGTTTGGATCTAAAGGTGTTGAATTATATAGACCAGCTCGGAACTGATGTTTGGCCCCAAATCTGCATCAAGTGACATTCAAATTTCCCAATTGGAACTTAAACATTTCCCAATTGGAACTTAAACATTTCCCAATTGGAACTTAAACATTTCCCAATAGGAACTTAAACATTTCCAAATTCATGTTAAGAAATGAAGTAAAGTTAAGAAAAAAAATCAGATTTTTTTCCAAGTATTTTCTTGATTTATACCATTTCTATAGAATACAGCCGCCACCATAGCAACACAGCTATATGTTCTTGTTTTTTAGACCATCAGCATTTCTTTGTAACCATAGTAATGTTATTGTTGTTAATTCCTTAAGAGGCTCTGATGAGGCTATTCTGAGATTGAGGCTTGGTGCGGCATGGAGGATTGATGTGGATGCGAACAATGGCTGTTCTACTGAGAGCCAATTGCAGAAATCTCAGTATTTCGTAGTAAAGCCCTGATTCACCTCGGGAAGTTAACACAGAGGTATTCGGTGTAATGGTTAGTTTTGTCAGGCTAGCTGTTGCTCATAGTAAGTCTAGCAACAAGTTGAGATTTTATAATGACCGTGTTATCTCTTCCGATATGGTCCATGGCACTGTGGAATATATCTCTTCCGATACGGTCCATGGCACTGTGGAATATATCTCTTCCGATACGGTCCATGGCACTGTGGAATATATCTCTTCCGATACGGTCCATGGCACTGTGGAATATATACTACTGATACGGTCCATGGCACTATGGAATATATACTACTGATAATATGATAGGATGGTGAAACATTAGCGATGGGAAACAATATCTTTTCTGTGTTTGTTTTTGTAACTCAACATGTCTCAGTTCCATTCGTGACGAATAGCGACTTGTGTCCCTCTCATGGCCATTTTTGCGCCTGGGTTCCGTCTTAGCGCAAACGGGCACACCTACAACAATTCACATATATTTCCCATGTATTATATATATTTCCGATACAATTTAAAGCACATTGGGGCATGCAGAATTATACAGTGTTATTGAACACATTTAATTGTGTCTTGGGTATATTTTTAGGTGCAAGATGTATGTAAAACCAAAAATTATTTCTGAGGGATTCTTTGACGAAGAACTTGAAATCATACACGCATTCTGACTGGTTTGTTGTATTTTCTCACATAACATTCATCGATAGGGGGACGAGTCTTCATGCAGGTGACGGAAAGGGGTGAATGGTGACGAAGGGTTTTAGTTTCATGTAGGATACTATTCGCAGGACGACATCTCCCAGCAATCCAAGGGGACTATGCTTGTGGTAAGAGGCGACTAACGGGATCGGGTGGTCAGGCTTGCTGACTTGGTTGATGCATGTCATCGATCCCAATTGTGTGGATCGATGCTCATGATATCAATCACTGGTCCAGACACGATTATTTACAGACCGCCGTCATATAGCTGGAATATTGCCGAGTGCGGCATCAAACAAACAAGCAAAACAAACCATCACACTCAAAAGAATTTCCCTGGCGAAAGGTGAAGAATATATATTGAGCAGTGGTTTGATCGTAGTTGGGGGTGTCATATGGTTTGAATTATGATTTTTTAAAATAACATGAAACCGGTGATGATAAACAACCAAAGTACCATGGAGACATATTTGTGACTATTGTCAGGTCCCCCCTACTGATCTAATCTGTGGTGATGTTATTGAGACCAATCACAAACCAGGAACTACCTTTGTTAATCTGGTGGTGATGTTATTGAGACCAATCACAAACCAGGAACTACCTTGGTTAATCTGATGGTGATGTTATTGAGACCAATCACAAGACAGGAACTACCTTTGATAATCTGGTGGTGATGTTATTGAGACCAATCACAAAACAGGAACTACCTTTGTTAATCTGGTGGTGATGTTCTTGAGACCAATCACAAAGCAGGAACTACCTTTGTTAATCTGATGGTGATGTTATTGAGACCAATCACAAAGCAGGAACTACCTTTGTTAATCTGGTGGTGAGGTTATTGAGACCAATCACAAAGCAGGAACTACCTTTGTTAATCTGGTGGTGATGTTATTGAGACCAATCACAAAGCAGGAACTACCTTTGTTAATCTGGTGGTGATGTTATTGAGACCAATCACAAACCAGGAACTACCTTGGTTAATCTGGTGGTGATGTTATTGAGACCAATCACTAGACAGGAACTACCTTTGTTAATCTGATGGTGATGTTATTGAGACCAATCACAAGACAGGAACTACCTTTGTTAATCTGATGGTGATGTTATTGAGACCAATCACAAAACAGGAACTACCTTTGTTAATCTGGTGGTGATGTTATTGAGACCAATCACAAACCAGGAACTACCTTGGTTAATCTGGTGGTGATGTTATTGATCAGTATGTTGCGTGGACCGTAAAGCCACATTGTCTTGAAACAAGAGACCATGAACTTACTGTGACCTTGTATGTTGTTTTTATGGGAAAAACTGGTTTAGCATCCTAATTTTCATTGGTAAAATAGCACAGTGTTCCCGTTTACCAGTAATTACCAGTTTTTACCAGTAAAAATAGGCTTGGACCGGTAATTCATGTGACTGCCAGTCCCTGTGGACCGGCAAATAAAGTACCTTATAAATCTTTATTGTTGAACAAAACATTGGCGATGTTCATATAAGTATATTTTATATAAGTATAACAAAGTCAGGTAGTCTGTCCCCTATGTCTATTTTTAGTGCCAGGAAATAACATTTAGCTTTGCTTCGAGGTTAATTATATATTTGTAGCGACTTAGTCTCGAACCATAGTGACATATTCAAAAGAGAGAGAAAATTGTGACGGAACTTTGTGTGAATGACGTATTGATCTAACCAAGTTATTGAGGCGATGTCGTTGCATTTTTCAGGGACTGGCAGCATCCAAAGCCAGGGGAAACACTGCGAACTGGTACATTGTGTAGTATTACAGAACACTGTAGCAGTGAACTGGTACATTGTGTAGTATTACAGAACACTGTAGCAGCGAACTGGTACATTGTGTAGTATTACGGAACACTGTAGCAGCGAACTGGTACATTGTGTTGTATTACAGAACACTGTAGCAGCAAACTGGTACATTGTGTTGTATTACAGAACACTGTAGCTGCGAACTGGTACATTGTGTAGTATTACGGAACACTGTAGCAGCGAACTGGTACATTGTGTAGTATTACAGAACACTGTAGCAGCGAACTGGTACATTGTGTAGTATTACAGAACACTGTAGCAGCGAACTGGTACATTGTGTAGTATTACGGAACACTGTAGAAGCGAACTGGTACATTGTGTAGTATTACGGAACACTGTAGCAGCGAACTGGTACATTGTGTTGTATTACAGAACACTGTAGCAGCGAACTGGTACATTGTGTAGTATTACGGAACACTGTAGTAGCGAACTGGTACATTGTGTAGTATTACAGAACACTGTAGCAGCGAACTGGTACATTGTGTAGTATTACGGAACACTGTAGCAGCGAACTGGTACATTGTGTAGTATTACGGAACACTGTAGTAGCGAACTGGTACATTGTGTAGTATTACGGAACACTGTAGCAGCGAACTGGTACATTGTGTAGTATTACGGAACACTGTAGTAGCGAACTGGTACATTGTGTAGTATTACGGAACACTGTAGCAGCGAACTGGTACATTGTGTAGTATTAGGGAACACTGTAGCAGCGAACTGGTACATTGTGTGGTATTACGGAACACTGTAGCAGCGAACTGGTACATTGTGTAGTATTACGGAACACTGTAGCAGCGAACTGGTACATTGTGTAGTATTACGGAACACTGTAGCAGCGAACTGGTACATTGTGTAGTATTACGGAACACTGTAGCAGCGAACTGGTACATTGTGTAGTATTACGGAACACTGTAGCAGCGAACTGGTACATTGTGTAGTATTACAGAACACTGTAGCAGCGAACTGGTACATTGTGTAGTATTACAGAACAATGTAGCTGCGAACTGGTACATTGTGTAGTATTACAGAACACTGTAGTAGGGAACTGGTACATTGTGTAGTATTACAGAACAATGTAGCTGCGAACTGGTACATTGTGTTGTATTACTGAACACTGTAGTAGGGAACTGGTACATTGTGTAGTATTACAGAACACTGTAGCAGTGAACTGGTACATTGTGTAGTATTACAGAACACTGTAGCAGCGAACTGGTACATTGTGTAGTATTACGGAACACTGTAGTAGCGAACTGGTACATTGTGTAGTATTACAGAACACTGTAGCAGCGAACTGGTACATTGTGTAGTATAACGGAACACTGTAGCAGCGAACTGGTACATTGTGTAGTATTACAGAACACTGTAGCAGCGAACTGGTACATTGTGTAGTATTACGGAACACTATAGCAGCGAACTGGTACATTGTGTAGTATTACTGAACACTGTAGCAGCGAACTGGTACATTGTGTAGTATTAGGGAACACTGTAGCAGCGAACTGGTACATTGTGTAGTATTACTGAACACTGTAGTAGCGAACTGGTACATTGTGTAGTATTACTGAACACTGTAGCAGCGAACTGGTACATTGTGTAGTATTACAGAACACTGTAGCAGCGAACTGGTACATTGTGTAGTATTACTGAACACTGTAGCAGCGAACTGGTACATTGTGTAGTATTACAGAGTCTAGTCAATTTAAACAATATGGAGTTGCCATAGTTGGTCAGGTTTATTCATGTTGATTTTGCTGAATATATTTCATTTCATTTGTCATTAATGACTGTTCAGTTTTTTTTGCCAATATCATCATGAGCCTTCCAAGGCCTGCATCGCGACATTCCGATACCATGGTCAATACTCAAAGTACTACCGGTATACTGCTCCGTGTGTGAAATTGAATATATAGGCACATGAGGTGAAGGTCGGGAACTTATCTTCCAAGGTCAAGGTTTGAAAGTAACTGTTCTCTGATTGGTTGGTTTAGTTAACATTTGTAACACTACTTTCCATCTTTTTATGACTCATTACATGTGAAATATTTTGTTACAATTTGTAGATGAAATCCTGGAAATGCTGTAAAAGCTTTTTCTTAGTCATGAGTGAGTGAGGATGGTTTTACGCTGCTTTTAGCAATATTCCAGCAATATCATGGCGGTGGACACCAGAAATGGGCTTCACACATGTCAGGAATCAAAGCCGGAGCGAACACTTTAACCACTAGGCTACCTGACCCAACTGCCCCTGTTAGTTATGAGGAATGATGGATGATCTGTTTGGAATGACTACAATGACCGGTAGGAGGCTGGGATTTGTGAAAGGGACATAACACTGTTTAGTCAGAGCTTCAAAACCTACACTTTTTTGCTTGGGAAGGAAGAGGCAGTGGGGTAGCCTAGTGGTTCAAGTGCCAGCTTTTCACACCGAAGGCCCGGGTTCGATTCCCAAAATGGGTACAACGTGTGAAGCCCATTTTCTGGTGTCCCCACCGTCATATTGCTAGATTATTGCTAAAAGTAGCATAAAACCTTACTCACTCACCCACTCTGAAAGGAGGACCCAACCATATTTTGGCTTTTACTCACAGCAGAGTGTTTTTCAGAACACACCGCCTGTCCACGGAATGTTCCTGGTAATACCGCAGGACAAACATGTTTGAACATTTTCAGAACTGCTTAAATGGAAAAAATCAAGCCCCCTCAAAATACCACTTTGTCAGTATCCTAATTTATGTAATTATGATTTTGATTAAACAGTTTTTCACCCCAGTGTTCAATCATGAGGTTTTGTCCCTTGATTTACTGTTTATTGAAGGTAGACTACATATTCCTAGACTGGTAAAACTCTATCTCAAATACACAACAACTTCAAGGGCAATACTCACATACCACCCTTATAAACTTATAACTGGTACACATATGACATATTTGCTGTGTTGACAGCGTTGTCAAGGTTTTTGTATATGCATCTGGAACCGTTTTCACAGGCAGGCCTAAAGAGAAAGCAGAGTTATGCCCCCGAACAAATATTATGGGGCTTTATGATTTTACCAGCAGAAATTTTGTGTACTCCCATTGACCTTCTTCAGCTGGTAAAGCACCAAGTCTGGGCCTGCTTTGTGCATAGGCTCTCTGTGTTCTCTATGTCAGTTATCTTCATCAATTACTGGTATACATTGTTTGTATATTTTTGTTTGCCTTTTCTACAATTGGTGTTTATTTTTTTGTTTAAGCTTTAAGCTTATCGAGGTTGCAATTTTGTTAATATTTTGCCAATATTGTTTTCATATTTTGAACAGAGATGACTCACATTAAATGTGAAGAAGGCCCTGTTGTACTGCTACAGGGGAACATATTTGTGAGTTGGACTGTATTCGTAAGGATACATTTAATTCATCAATGATCTGTGGTGATTGTTCTTGCATAGTCTTTAGATTATTTTCTTGCAATCATTTTGCAAAATGTTTTACAATATTTAGTTATCTTGTTTGAGTTAAATCAACATGCTTATTGAGTCCTCCAGACCACAAAAATAAAAAATATAAGATCAACTATCACTTCAGGTTTTCCTCCCACATAACGCTGACACAGCATGAGATATAACTGGGATACTGTTCCGAGATGTGTTAAACCCAACTCACTCACTCACTCACGCACTCTCACTCATGCACGCACACTCACTCACGCACACACACACACACACTCACACACACGCACTCACTCACTCACGCACACACACGCACTCACTCACTCACTCTCACACGCACGCACTCACCCACGCACGCACGCACACACACACACACACTCACTCACTCATCTGGTGTCATAGGAACAAGTCATTATGTAGGCTAAATGATATTGATGTGAACTGGAATGAGATCACTTGACAGTTGCTAGCTTGATTCTGCTTCAGTATTGATGATGATGATGATGATGATGATGATGATGATGATGTTGATGATGTTAAAACCACTAATTTCATGGACCCAGTCAGCTGTTATTTGAACATGGGAAAATTCAATCATTGAATTTAGCATAATTCATAAAGAATTCAACCTATTTTTCATGAATGCATTCTATACGGAGGGTTTTAAATCCAGTTCCAATAGCTAAAGTTCAACACTTCACATTCTTAGAACCTTTTGCAGAAGAATGTTTTCAAGTATTATCGACTTGTCCATTGGTCAGAAATTGGAGATAGCTATCTATTATTTATCTGCTACCAACGTATTACATGCTTATATTAAGTATTTATTTCACATGCTAATAGATGTACATATCTGTCTTTCCACTGATAGAGGAGGCAAGGGTGGCAGAGTCTTCTAAGGCACCGCAATCTGCTGTGCAGAGTTGCGTCCCTTGGGCATGCCAGAAACCTATGATTGTGGGTTCGAATCCCGGTTCGCCCCGATTATGTTTCTAGGTTTGTCAGCACCATACCCGTGCTCGTGGGTTTCAACGAAGTGGTTAATGTCTGAGACCTGCATCACTTCATGCTTTCCTCCCACATTAAGCTGACACGCCGTGATATAACTGGAATACTGTTAAAAACGGTGTTAAACCCAACTCCCCCACTAAGTCACTTTCCAATGATAAGGCCATTCATGTTTGTTGGATCATGGGTCTGACAACCCAAAGTAGGAGAATCTTAATTTTCCCCAAAAAGTTTTTTGCCGACTGAGAGCACACAGAAAATCTTATATGATGCTTGGCTTCACATTAATATTTCACAAATTTGTTGAGTCACTGAGTCGTTGGTTTCCTTGCATAGTATATGTAGAGTCATGTCCCTTGTAATTGATACAAGTCCTTGACTTTCACAAAATTAATTCCTATTGATTTTGACAAAAAAAAGGTTCTAGCACACTAAAGATGGTAAATTAATTTATTTTCTTCATTTTTTCCCCCTCCAATGTCAACTTTTTTAAAAAAACATGTCAGTCCCCAGACTCTCACTTCTGACTTTGACAAAAAAATATTCTGTGATCCAGCAAATAGAAAAATAAGGGCCTCAGCAGATAGCATCACAAAAAATATTTCATTAATGAATGGTGGGTGGGTTATGTGAGGGACGGATCCACACTGACTTTGTTCTTTTTGAAAGAGACTACATTTCCTGCCTGTCTGTCTGAGGCTAAGGTTGATCTCCTTGTACTGCCTGAGTTTCAGTGTCGCCACACGTTGATGTTGTGTACAATAAACTGTATGTATATATCCTGAAACATTTGTTCGTTTATTTGTGCTGAAACCTGCCGCCTGGGTGGTGCAGTGGATAGAGCATCGACCTGGATGGATGGTGGGTGGTTTGATGCCGCCTGGGCGGTGCAGTGGATAGAGCATCGACCTGGATGGATGGTGGGTGGTTTGATGCCGCCTGGGCGGTGCAGTGGATAGAGCATCGACCTGGACGGATGGTGGGTGGTTTGATGCCCCCTGGGTGGTGCAGTGGATAGAGCATCGACCTGGACGGATGGTGGGTGGTTTGATGCCCCCTGGGCGGTGCAGTGGATAGAGCATCGACCTGGATGGATGGTGGGTGGTTTGATGCCCCCTGGGTGGTGCAGTGGATAGAGCATCGACCTGGACGGATTGTGGGTGGGTGGTTTGATGCCCCCTGGGTGGTGCAGTGGATAGAGCATCGACCTGGACGGATGGTGGGTGGTTTGATGCCCCCTGGGTGGTGCAGTGGATAGAGCATCGACCTGGACGGATGGTGGGTGGTTTGATGCCGCCTGGGCGGTGCAGTGGATAGAGCATCGACCTGGACGGATGGTGGGTGGGTGGTTTGATGCCGCCTGGGCGGTGCAGTGGATAGAGCATCGACCTGTACGGGTGGTGGGTGGGTGGTTTGATGCCCCCTGGGCGGTGCAGTGGATAGAGCATCGACCTGGATGGATGGTGGGTGGTTTGATGCCGCCTGGGCGGTGCAGTGGATAGAGCATCGACCTGGACGGATGGTGGGTGGTTTGATGCCCCCTGGGCGGTGCAGTGGATAGAGCATCGACCTGGATGGATGGTGGGTGGTTTGATGCCGCCTGGGCGGTGCAGTGGATAGAGCATCGACCTGGATGGATGGTGGGTGGTTTGATGCCGCCTGGGCGGTGCAGTGGATAGAGCATCGACCTGGACGGATGGTGGGTGGTTTGATGCCCCCTGGGTGGTGCAGTGGATAGAGCATCGACCTGGACGGATGGTGGGTGGTTTGATGCCCCCTGGGCGGTGCAGTGGATAGAGCATCGACCTGGATGGATGGTGGGTGGTTTGATGCCCCCTGGGTGGTGCAGTGGATAGAGCATCGACCTGGACGGATTGTGGGTGGGTGGTTTGATGCCCCCTGGGTGGTGCAGTGGATAGAGCATCGACCTGGACGGATGGTGGGTGGTTTGATGCCCCCTGGGTGGTGCAGTGGATAGAGCATCGACCTGGACGGATGGTGGGTGGTTTGATGCCGCCTGGGCGGTGCAGTGGATAGAGCATCGACCTGTACGGGTGGTGGGTGGGTGGTTTGATGCCCCCTGGGCGGTGCAGTGGATAGAGCATCGACCTGGATGGATGGTGGGTGGTTTGATGCCGCCTGGGCGGTGCAGTGGATAGAGCATCGACCTGGACGGATGGTGGGTGGTTTGATGCCCCCTGGGCGGTGCAGTGGATAGAGCATCGACCTGGACGGATGGTGGGTGGTTTGATGCCCCCTGGGTGGTGCAGTGGATAGAGCATCGACCTGGACGGATGGTGGGTGGTTTGATGCCGCCTGGGCGGTGCAGTGGATAGAGCATCGACCTGGACGGATGGTGGGTGGTTTGATGCCCCCTGGGCGGTGCAGTGGATAGAGCATCGACCTGGACGGATGGTGGGTGGTTTGATGCCCCCTGGGCGGTGCAGTGGATAGAGCATCGACCTGGACGGATGGTGGGTGGTTTGATGCCGCCTGGGCGGTGCAGTGGATAGAGCATCGACCTGGACGGATGGTGGGTGGTTTGATGCCGCCTGGGCGGTGCAGTGGATAGAGCATCGACCTGGACGGATGGTGGGTGGTTTGATGCCCCCTGGGCGGTGCAGTGGATAGAGCATCGACCTGGACGGATGGTGGGTGGTTTGATGCCCCCTGGGTGGTGCAGTGGATAGAGCATCGACCTGGACGGATGGTGGGTGGTTTGATGCCGCCTGGGCGGTGCAGTGGATAGAGCATCGACCTGGACGGATGGTGGGTGGTTTGATGCCGCCTGGGCGGTGCAGTGGATAGAGCATCGACCTGGACGGATGGTGGGTGGTTTGATGCCCCCTGGGCGGTGCAGTGGATAGAGCATCGACCTGGACGGATGGTGGGTGGTTTGATGCCGCCTGGGCGGTGCAGTGGATAGAGCATCGACCTGGACGGATGGTGGGTGGTTTGATGCCGCCTGGGCGGTGCAGTGGATAGAGCATCGACCTGGACGGATGGTGGGTGGTTTGATGCCGCCTGGGCGGTGCAGTGGATAGAGCATCGACCTGGACGGATGGTGGGTGGTTTGATGCCGCCTGGGCGGTGCAGTGGATAGAGCATCGACCTGGACGGATGGTGGGTGGTTTGATGCCGCCTGGGCGGTGCAGTGGATAGAGCATCGACCTGGATGGATGGTGGGTGGTTTGATGCCGCCTGGGCGGTGCAGTGGATAGAGCATCGACCTGGACGGATGGTGGGTGGTTTGATGCTGCCTCCATTGAATCAAAGATGGTACCTGTTGTTTCCCTTCCTGACACTCGCATTAAGGGGATGAAATAAGGACTGGCCGGTCCGGAATCAGTATGCCGGTTTTAGTCTGACTAGTACAAGCAGCCAGACACAAGGACTGGCCGGTCCGGAGTCAGTATACCGGTTTAAGTCTGACTAGTACAAGCAACCAGACACAAGGACTGGCCGGTCCCGAATCAGTATACTGGTTTAGTCTGACTAGTACAAGCAACCAGACACAAGGACTGGCCGGTCCGGAATCAGTATACTGGTTTAAGTCTGACTAGTACAAGCAACCAGACACAAGGACTGTCCGGTCCGGAATCAGTATACCGGTTTAGACTGACTAGTACAAGCAGCCAGACACAAGGACTGGCCGGTCCGAGTCAGTAAACTGGTTTAGTCTGACTAGTACAAGCAACCAGACACAAGGACTGGCCGGTCCAGAATCAGTATACCGGTTTAAGTCTGACTAGTACAAGCAACCAGACACAAGGACTGGCCGGTCCGGAATCAGTATACCGGTTTAAGTCTGACTAGTACAAGCAACCAGACACAAGGACTGGCCGGTCCGGAATCAGTATACCGGTTTAAGTCTGACTAGTACAAGCAACCAGACACAAGGACTGGCCGGTCCGGAATCAGTATGCCGGTTTAAGTCTGACTAGTACAAGCAGTCAGACACAAGGACTGGCCGGTCTTGAATCAGTATACCGGTTTAAGTCTGACTAGTACAAGCAGCCAGACACAAGGACTGGCTGGTCCGGAATCAGTATACTGGTTTAAGTATGACTAGTACAAGCAACCAGACACAAGGACTGGCCGGTCCAGAATCAGTATACCGGTTTAAGTCTGACTAGTACAAGCAGCCAGACACAAGGACTGGCCGGTCCAGAATCAGTATGCTGGTTTAAGTCTGACTAGTACAAGCAGCCAGACACAAGGACTGGCCGGTCCAGAATCAGTATACCGGTTTAAGTCTGACTAGTACAAGCAGCCAGACACAAGGACTGGCCGGTCCGGAATCAGTATGCTGGTTTAATCTGACTAGTACAAGCAACCAGACACAAGGACTGGCCTGTCCGGAATCAGTGTACCGGTTTAGTCTGACTAGTACAAGCAGCCAGACACAAGGACTGGCCGGTCCGGAATCAGTATGCTGGTTTAAGTCTGACTAGTACAAGCAACCAGACACAAGGACTGGCCTGTCCGGAATCAGTATGCTGGTTTAAGTCTGACTAGTACAAGCAACCAGACACAAGGACTGGCCTGTCCGGAATCAGTATACCGGTTTAAGTCTGACTAGTACAAGCAGCCAGACACAAGGACTGGCCTGTCCGGAATCAGTATGCTGGTTTAAGTCTGACTAGTACAAGCAACCAGACACAAGGACTGGCCTGTCCGGAATCAGTATACCGGTTTAAGTCTGACTAGTACAAGCAGCCAGACACAAGGACTGGCCGGTCCGGAATCAGTGTAACGGTTTAGTCTGACTAGTACAAGCAGCCAGACACAAGGACTGGCCGGTCCGGAATCAGTATACTGGTTTAAGTCTGACTAGTACAAGCAACCAGACACAAGGACTGGCCGGTCCGGAATCAGTATACCGGTTTAAGTCTGACGAGTACAAGCAACCAGACACAAGGACTGGCCGGTCCGGAATCAGTATACTGGTTTAAGTCTGACTAGTACAAGCAGCCAGACACAAGGACTGGCCGGTCCGGAATCAGTATACTGGTTTAAGTATGACTAGTACAAGCAACCAGACACAAGGACTGGCCGGTCCAGAATCAGTATACCGGTTTAAGTCTGACTAGTACAAGCAACCAGACACAAGGACTGGCCTGTCCGGAATCAGTATACCGGTTTAAGTCTGACTAGTACAAGCAGCCAGACACAAGGACTGGCCTGTCCGGAATCAGTATGCTGGTTTAAGTCTGACTAGTACAAGCAACCAGACACAAGGACTGGCCTGTCCGGAATCAGTATACCGGTTTAAGTCTGACTAGTACAAGCAGCCAGACACAAGGACTGGCCGGTCCGGAATCAGTGTAACGGTTTAGTCTGACTAGTACAAGCAGCCAGACACAAGGACTGGCCGGTCCGGAATCAGTATACTGGTTTAAGTCTGACTAGTACAAGCAACCAGACACAAGGACTGGCCGGTCCGGAATCAGTATACCGGTTTAAGTCTGACGAGTACAAGCAACCAGACACAAGGACTGGCCGGTCCGGAATCAGTATACTGGTTTAAGTCTGACCAGTACAAGCAGCCAGACACGACTGGCCGGTCCGGAATCAGTATACTGGTTTAAGTATGACTAGTACAAGCAACCAGACACAAGGACTGGCCGGTCCAGAATCAGTATACCGGTTTAAGTCTGACTAGTACAAGCAACCAGACACAAGGACTGGCCGGTCCAGAATCAGTATACCGGTTTAAGTCTGACTAGTACAAGCAGCCAGACACTAGGACTGGCCTGTCCGGAATCAGTATGCTGGTTTAGTCTGACTAGTACAAGCAACCAGACACAAGGACTGGCCTGTCCGGAATCAGTGTACCGGTTTAGTCTGACTAGTACAAGCAGCCAGACACAAGGACTGGCCTGTCCGGAATCAGTATGCTGGTTTAGTCTGACTAGTACAAGCAACCAGACACAAGGACTGGCCTGTCCGGAATCAGTGTACCGGTTTAGTCTGACTAGTACAAGCAGCCAGACACAAGGACTGGCCGGTCCGGAATCAGTATGCTGGTTTAAGTCTGACTAGTACAAGCAACCAGACACAAGGACTGGCCGGTCCGGAATCAGTGTAACGGTTTAGTCTGACTAGTACAAGCAGCCAGACACAAGGACTGGCCGGTCCGGAATCAGTATACTGGTTTAAGTCTGACTAGTACAAGCAACCAGACACAAGGACTGGCCGGTCCGGAATCAGTATACCGGTTTAAGTCTGACGAGTACAAGCAACCAGACACAAGGACTGGCCGGTCCGGAATCAGTATACCGGTTTAAGCCTGACTAGTACAAGCAGCCAGACACAAGGACTGGCCGGTCCGGAATCAGTATACCGGTTTAAGCCTGACTAGTACAAGCAACCAGACTCAAGGACTGGCCTGTCCGGAATCAGTGTACCGGTTTAGTCTGACTAGTACAAGCAACCAGACACAAGGACTGGCCGGTCCGGAATCAGTATGCTGGTTTAAGTCTGACTAGTACAAGCAACCAGACACAAGGACTGGCCTGTCCGGAATCAGTATGCTTGTTTAAGTCTGACTAGTACAAGCAACCAGACACAAGGACTGGCCTGTCCGGAATCAGTATACCGGTTTAAGTCTGACTAGTACAAGCAGCCAGACACAAGGACTGGCCTGTCCGGAATCAGTATGCTGGTTTAAGTCTGACTAGTACAAGCAGCCAGACACAAGGACTGGCCTGTCCGGAATCAGTATACCGGTTTAAGTCTGACTAGTACAAGCAGCCAGACACAAGGACTGGCCGGTCCGGAATCAGTGTAACGGTTTAGTCTGACTAGTACAAGCAGCCAGACACAAGGACTGGCCGGTCCGGAATCAGTATACCGGTTTAAGTCTGACTAGTACAAGCAACCAGACACAAGGACTGGCCTGTCCGGAATCAGTATACCGGTTTAAGTCTGACTAGTACAAGCAACCAGACACAAGGACTGGCCTGTCCGGAATCAGTATACCGGTTTAAGTCTGACTAGTACAAGCAGCCAGACACAAGGACTGGCCTGTCCGGAATCAGTATGCTGGTTTAAGTCTGACTAGTACAAGCAACCAGACACAAGGACTGGCCTGTCCGGAATCAGTATACCGGTTTAAGTCTGACTAGTACAAGCAGCCAGACACAAGGACTGGCCGGTCCGGAATCAGTGTAACGGTTTAGTCTGACTAGTACAAGCAGCCAGACACAAGGACTGGCCGGTCCGGAATCAGTATACCGGTTTAAGTCTGACGAGTACAAGCAGCCAGACACAAGGACTGGCCGGTCCGGAATCAGTATACCGGTTTAAGTCTGACGAGTACAAGCAACCAGACACAAGGACTGGCCGGTCCGGAATCAGTATACTGGTTTAAGTCTGACTAGTACAAGCAGCCAGACACAAGGACTGGCCGGTCCGGAATCAGTATGCCGGTTTAAGTCTGACTAGTACAAGCAGCCAGACACAAGGACTGGCCGGTCCGGAATCAGTATACTGGTTTAAGCCTGACTAGTACAAGCAGCCAGACACAAGGACTGGCCTGTCCGGAATCAGTATACCGGTTTAAGCCTGACTAGTACAAGCAGCCAGACACAAGGACTGGCCGGTCCGGAATCAGTATACCGGTTTAAGCCTGACTAGTACAAGCAGCCAGACACAAGGACTGGCCGGTCAGGAATCAGTATACCGGTTTAAGTCTGACTAGTACAAGCAGCCAGACACAAGGACTGGCCGGTCCAGAATCAGTATACCGGTTTAAGTCTGACTAGTACAAGCAACCAGACACAAGGACTGGCCGGTCCGGAATCAGTATACCGGTTTAGTCTGACTAGTACAAGCAGCCAGACACAAGGACAGGCCGGTCCAGAATCAGTATACCGGTTTAAGTCTGACTAGTACAAGCAGCCAGACACAAGGACTGGCCGGTCCGGAATCAGTGTACCGGTTTAAGTCTGACTAGTACAAGCAGCCAGACACAAGGACTTGCCGGTCCGGAATCAGTATACCGGTTTAAGTCTGACTAGTACAAGCAGTCAGACACAAGGACTGGCCGGTCCAGAATCAGTAAACTGGTTTAAGTCTGACTAGTACAAGCAGTCAGACACAAGGACTGGCCGGTCCGGAATCAGTATACTGGTTTAAGTCTGACTAGGACAAGCAACCAGACACAAGGACTGGCCGGTCCGGAATCAGTATGCCCGTTTAAGTCTGACTAGTACAAGCAAC